TTTAACTTGTCCAATAACAGATGCTGTTGCTGCTGCGGCCATGGACCCAGGAGTAGAATATGTTGACCAAAATCCGGCTCAGACGGCTACACTTAGATCATATTTTCCTGAAACGTGGTTGTGGGAATTGGTGCCTACTGGGTATGATTGAAATACATTTTAAGAGCGTACTGAATATTTCGAGAGTGCTAACAATCTCTCTTATATGTCTTCTTGTGATAAATACGTTACTTGTTGATCACGATCAAGATTCGATCAGATTTATTATTATAACTATATATTTAATTATTTTTCATAGAAAAGAGGGCAAAGTAACGATAGAACGTACACTTCCGCACACCATCACCGATTGGGTTGGATATACAACATGTATTTCGCCGGTTCACGGTCTTGGAATAGCCCCTCCGACCACTATAACAGCATTCCAATTGTTCTTCCTGGATTATAGTTTACCGTACAGCATAAAACGTGGAGAAATAATGCGTTTCAAAGTGTCCCTTTTCAATTACATGCATCACAGTTTACCTGTAAGTGCATCGTTGTAAGTTCGTCTATAACACAGTGGCGGATCCAGAAGCCTTTCTGAGGAAGAAGTAACAAAAGGTGTAAAAGTACATATATAAGTACATTTTTGAACCTTATTTTACAAGATATAAATTTGCTTGTAATTTTTATTTTAATGTTTCTATCTTGTACCATATCTAACTAGTTTTTCAAACTGTGACATAATATTTTTATATTTATATTAATCTTGAGGAGAGGACAGGCGACCGTGCTACTGCCCTCACTACTGCACTCACTTTGAATCTGCCACTGTTATAACAAATAAATTCTTAAGTACTAAAAGATATGAATTCTCTTATGCATGAAATTTCGTATTTTTATATATACTTTCTAATAGATTGGTTTTAGGCGTATACCGTCTACCGAAATTGCATTTTATTTCAAATAATTTTCCCAACTTCAAAATCCATGTAACACGAAATTCGTATTCATGTATTTAATAATTTGTTTCACTTATTAATATACAGGTAAAAATTAAAATGGAAGAAGTAGAAGGAATTGATTTGCATTCGTCGAATTCTATCGCCTCGTTCTGTGTAAAACCACGAGACAGCATTGTCTATCAGTACATCTTGAAACCACGAGTAATCGGAGAAGTTAACGTAACAGTTGCCGCTTTCATAGACACTGATTTTCCTGAACCATGCGGACCAGAGACTGTGGTATTTACGCGGTAATTAAGAATAAATAAATAGCTCGTACTGTAAAATAGTAAAAGAAAAAAAAGAAACTTCCTAATAGTAAGAATAAATAAAGTATAATAAATAAAGTAAGAATAAATTTTAACGATACAAAGTTAAGAAATAGAAATTAATAATAAACAAATAACTAATCTATTCATATTTAAGGAACGTAATGCCTGATCTATTCGTGTTTAAGGGACGTGATCATGAAACCGATTCTAATTCTACCCGAAGGTTTCCCCATGGAAGAAACGAAATCTACGTTGATTTGCCCGATGGATTTCAGCGATGATTCCGCGTTCATGTGGGAATTGACATTGCCTGAAGATGCGGTACCGGATAGTGGGAGAGCGTATTTAAATTTGATAGGAGACATCTTAGGTCCGGCACTCGAAAATTTAGATAAACTTGTACAATTACCAAAAGGTTGCGGTGAACAAAATATGGTACTGTTTGTTCCAAATATTCACGTGATTAAATATCTGGATGTGATCGGAATCGATAATCCTGAACTTCGTACGAAAGCGATTAGGAATATGGAAAAAGGTATCGTTACATATTTTTAAGAAAGAGGAATATTTTTTAGCAAGAACTATTAATGTACTTGATTGAAATTTGTTTTATAAAATTGAAAAAAACCTTCCATTTTTTATTGATCAATTAAGGCAGTATTAACCGTTTTTATTATATATTGAACTTAGGATACCAGAGAGAGCTAACGTACAGACATGTGGATGGTTCTTATTCTGCGTTTGGAAGTAGTGAAAGCTCTATATGGCTGACTGCATTCGTATTAAAATCATTTGCTCAGGCTGCAACCTTGATTCATATCGACGAACAGGATCTTAAGCTATCTGTTAGCTGGATCACATCGCAACAATTGGAAAATGGTTGTTTCCCCGTAATAGGCACTGTCTTTCACAAACAGATGAAGGTTCGCCAAATTTTCAACTGTTCGAATGTCTCAATAAATTGCAACAAGTTTTACTTTAGGGCGGCCTTGAAGAATACGATGGCTTGTCATCAGGAATAACAGCATACATCCTAATTTCTTTGCTCGAATCTGGTGTTCCTTTGTCATCGTCTGTTGTTAATAATGCCCAGAGTTGTTTGGAAAAGGGAACAGCTAGTGGTCACAATAATCTACACACTACGGTTCTCACTACATACGCGTTAGCATTATTGGGAGATCCAAAGGCCAATTCCAGCATGACATCTTTGATGAATCTCGCTACACGCTACAAAGTGAGAATGAACATATATAATCGATCAGGAAATATATCTTATTTCTAAACTTTTTTCTTTTTTATTTGATACTTAGTTAAAATATATCTATAATTACGATTTTATTATTCTTAATACTTGATCTTTTTACGTTATAGAATCTAGTTTGGTGGGAGGATAAAACTAAGCCTTCAATCGGTCTAAGCATCGAAATGACTGCATATGTCATTCTTACCTTACTGAAATTAGGTGATGGACATTTGATCGAAGCCTTGAAAGCCGTTCGCTGGATATCAAAGCAAAGAAACGCCGAAGGTGGATTTACGTCCACTCAAGACACGGTTGTTGGACTGGAGGCTCTTACGAAATATGCTATGACTGTACAACATAGAAATATCGATTTGTCTGTTCTTGTCACTGCTAAGGAAGTGGATTATGTCTACAAATTGCATAACGAAAATCGTATGGTTCTTAAGCAAATTCGTTTATCTGTTTTACCAACTATCGTAGAAATCTTTGCTCAAGGCAAAGGATGTGTTTTAGTACAGGTAAAATAAATGTCTTTATCTTTATTCGAGAATACAGGAACTTTGCTATGAATTCTGTATATAATTATTTACTTGCAATTTCTTTTTCGTTGCAAATTATACAAACATTGCGTTTCAATTTTAGAGCAATCTTAAATACAATGTTCCGCATAGTACCGGTTCAGATGCTTTTGATCTTTCGGTGAGAGCCCGTTCCGTTAGTCATGGAAACGAATGCTCGTTACAAGAAATTACAATCTGTGCTCGATATAAGCTGGCAGATGAGGAAAGTAACATGGCTTTGCTAGAAATTGGAATGATAAGTGGTTACGTGCCTGATCGAGCGAGTCTTCACTTGTTATTAGATCCATCTTCAAGTAAATTCACTCTCTTTCCTATTACAAATTGAATTAACGGATAATAATACGATATTAATTGAAATCTATTCATAAATTACAGAAGTTAAACGATTCGAGGAAGACCAAGATACTATGACGATTTACTTTGATAAATTAACTGGACAAAATACTTGCGTCTCGTTTAGAATAATACAAGAGTATTTTGTCGATCATCTTAAGCCAGCAAACGTGAGGCTTTACGATTACTATCAGCAAGAGCTTACCGTATCCACTGTAAGTCCAGACGATTTCTATTCAATTTTAATTAGAAAAAAAAAGATGTAACGATTGATAGAATAAATGCTTTCAGAATTACACAATCGCTTCAATTTGTAGCAGCGCGGAACCAGTCGATGAACAAACAACGCCAAATCAACTATCTACTATGAAGCAATACAAAGAATTTAATACCAGTCCGGTGAATTCCTCTTTCTTCGTCGTCAATCATGAACTAGCAGTGCCAGATGGAATAGAGGGACCAATTCCAGTTTATATGAAACCGGATGCCTATGATAAAACAGAAATGGCTATCACTACCAATGGATCACCTGATTTAACACCGACATTTACAACGGAAGACCAAACTGTATCAACTATACAAATAGAGAATGAAGAACCTGTACAGGTATTTATATACATTTCAAACTTTTTTAATCGTTCCAAACGACTTGCGAATAATTAGTCAAATAAAATTTGTCAAACAACGAAAAATCGAAGAAAATAAAAAGATTCGTCGAACTATCGATAGAGACAATTTCTTACAGGTGGAGCCAGACATTGAAATAAAGAACACTACAACAATCGCCGAGACGAATATTCCGTGTAAGTAAAATGTATTTTACAATCTACAACAGTTACACGTACAATTATCGTTTCTCACGTTACATGTTACTTTAGTGCCAACGGGAGTAAACCAATCTTGTCCCGTATGTATGGAGTTACCGTCAAACATTAGCGATGTTTATTGTTCGGCAAGTAGCGCGGTTAAAGTAGCAATCAGACGACTTCGCAAAGTGAGATTGCTGCTAGACTTGCATTCATCCCGAGAAGTTCAACGTCTTCGTGCCACGGTCGAGTTCACTTTAAGCCCAAATTGTTCCTGTTTACAGTTAGATAACCGTACGTAACGTACTAAGAGACGGGTTACACATTGATAAGTTAAACCACCATACCTCGATACACATAACACGTACACCGTTTTACAATGTATATTTAGTATAAAAAAATATTTTCTTGCAGCTGGAAGTTTTGCATTAATCATAAACAAGGATAACGACTTTCTTGCATCCGGGGATCAGAAGCAAACACTGAACGATTCGTTTCATATATATGGTTTACCAATGGTAAGCGGTATGCCTTGCAAATTGGCCGAGGCACGAGCCTCTTGTTTCAATGAAGAGAACATTCAATGCACGTACGAAGATCCCTCGGTTTACGGTTAGATTTAGTATACCTATCTTAATGTGTTTAATGCGCAAAATGTTTGAAACCGATTGTGTAAATTTCGATTACAAGGATATAACACTGTATGTTCTGTTTTCTTTTTTAACTGAACTAATTTCGCGCAGGGTATATACATGAATCTTTACTCTTTTCATTTTCTGTTTTTTTTTATCTACAAATATATCAGTTACATAATATGTAAGTAATCATAGGATAAGCTATAGTCCACGTGAAAACATAAACGAGCATCATCGTCGCAATTAGTTATATATGTATCAGGGAATGGAAAGTTCCTCTTTTTTTATATATATTGTGAATAAAGTTTTCAATATAGTAAATTGATTAATTTATTCCTTCGTAATTTTATATATATGTATATGTATATATATATATATGTATATTGACAAGTGAACACGCAAAAAAGCGAATATCGGTTTTTTGTTTGTTATACTTTTATTTATTTATTCTTTGTATCTGATCTGCTACTGAAATAATTATTACAAATTAACAATCACCTCTCGAACTTTTTACTACATTAAATATTATTTTATTACAGCAGATTTTACGGTTATCTATTTTATTATTACGGCTCTTTTTATTTATCATACTAAGTGTTTGTCATTTAATGCTGATGGAATTGAAACATTTTCTCTTTCTTTCTTTTTGCACAGCTACAGAGAATATTTGTTATAAAGCTATCGATCTTTCTTCTCTTTCTTTCTTTCTTCGTCCTTCTTTTTCTTTATTGTTATTTATGTAATTTCCTACGTTCGACTTCAGCATTAAATACCAAATCGCATTATCACTGGAAATGTGTTCGCTATTTATCCACATTTGTAAACGGTAAAATGCTTGCTCGAAATAAATAAGACTATTTGCACTGTTCGCTAGAAAAACTAACCGTAGCGACGCTTCACTAAAGTAAAATGCAAAACCTAACACCTGCATCAGGAATGAAAGGAACGATTTTTGAATGTCTATAAATTGGCAGTAGCGTTTTCAGTTCAGTCGGCGTCGTTTCCAAAGATTTCAATTATACTCTATTCAATAGATATTTTTTGCTTGTAGTTAGTACATCACCGTTTATCCGTACGAATAAACAACACGGTACATGTAGTAGATATTATAGAATCCTATTCGCAAATGGTCACTTAAGAAAAAACGAGACGAATACGATTAATAATACTTTGTTACACTGGGATCATAATTTTCATCAGTTAGTTAAATATGCGCAAAGGTATACATTCACCAAAAATGATGTATTAACGCACTAGTAATTTTCTCGCCGATCTGATATACATATATACGTTTACTTTTAATATTTATCGATATTGGAACAGCATTGCCCAGGCAGAACACAAGTACTGTGACGAAATGTTGACACAATATTTATGAGAATATTGGTCGAACACGTTGGCAGTAAATGCTCGAGTAAATAGTAAATGCACATATCTCAACAGCTCTCCTAACTTCGTAGATATCGATATTATAAAACAGTATTGTACAATACTTACCCTAATGTCAAAAAACACAGTGATACAAAAATTCGGATATGTAGAATCAATATGCAAGAGACAGACATTGCAATCGCGAAGTATTCTAAATACAAATCCATGGTATTCCGAAATATGGATATACGTTTTAAAACTAGGACTAAGTGGTTATCATTAGTTTGCTAGAAAAGTGATCCACAGTTAATAAAAATAAAATAGAACCCTTGAAATAGAAGATTACTAATTATTGAACAATTTAGTAATTATTTACCAATTTAATAATTTTGTTGTAATTTAACTAATAATCTTTAGATTTCTAAAATTTTTTATAAAATATTATTCATATATATCGTTTATTATTAAAAAAAAGTTGGGAATTTTTACAAACATATCGAAATTAAGGATTTTTTAAAAGTGTCACTTCTCTAGCAAGAAGGCGGTATGTGTAAAAGACAATTGGTATAATCTAAAGAAATCTACACTAAGTTAATACAAAAACTTTCAAGATGTGGTAAAATTAACTTACGAATTGTTCAAACAAAAAAAATAATGCAGTAATACTGTAGTCTGGAAAATACAATATTATTGTATATCGATATTGAATAAATATTAAAGATATAAATCTCGATGGAATCGGGCCAATATAAAAACTAATTCTAAAATTAAGTTCTACCTGGGCAGTAATACTCACATACATTTACGTTCAATTTTGTCATACCAAACAGTATTATATTGGTTGACAAATGCTACTATTAGAACCTGTGCTCGCATGGAACACGATACTGAGTAGAAAATAAAAATAGTCTGAAATAAAAATGACAATTGTGTTTGTGCGCTTCATACAGGAAAATGAAAGACAGACAATACAGGTAAAATTAATCACTACATGTAAAATAATAATACATTAAGACACGAGCTCTATATTAAATTATATATGCAGATTTTGTATTTCTTCTTTAAATTAAAATATAAAGTATTAAATTGCTACTAAAATATGATTCAGTCAGTCAGGTTTTCCATAGTACTGGCAAGCATCAGGCATTAGTATCAAACATCAACTTAAGTTAAAACTTAAAGTTGCAATAATATGTAAATATACTACTTTAGTTTATAAATATATTATTTAAATCTTATTATTTTAAATTATAAAGTACGCGTACGATATAATAAAATTGGGCTCTTTAATTAAACAAGACATGTCGTTTTATCTTTGCACTGAATTAATATATATGTATATATTATATATATTATGACACGCATTGTGAAATATAAATTAAAGATGGATTTAATATAGAGCTTGCCTTCTTTACATAATTTTAATCAAACTAAACACGATATTAACGAATTCAGGTAAAAAATTGGCTTTACTCTTTGAATTTTACGTCAGTGCACCGAAATGCAAAGAAGTCAGTCTAACTGATTATCAATTACCAAATGTACGTTCGTAAAGGTACATATATACGCGCAATAAGCGCAATTTTATTTGGCGATGTAAACACGTTATTGTTCAAACTTGATAATGCGTGTTGCGATTGTTGCAACGGTCGCAAATATCAGATGCATCAGAAATAACAAAGGAACTTGTACGAACATCCGTATTATAATACTCAATAAATTTTAGGTGCTGAACGATCGTTAATGGGACCACTGGTTTTCCTTAAAGAGGTACCTTTTCGTATTTGATCCATGAGAGAATCCCTGACTTGTAAAGGATCCATAATGGGTACACGATTACCCATTATGCGTCTTACGCTTGCGGATCTACTCGTTGTATTATTTCCTTGCAAGTTTTGCTGTTGTTGCGCTAATTTAGCATTCAAAGTCTCGAGAAAACCAGATGGTGTTTTAGAATTTTTGCTTATCTGCTGTTCAATGGAGTGCTTTCTGGTAGATTTGGGACTACTATTCGTATTGTTACCACTTGTGGCATTATTACCTGTACTGTTAATGAGCTTAGCACTGAGAACCGCCATAAAACTTTGGCCAACCCCTCCCGGACCTTGCCCTTGAATATTTACACCTGTATTGACAGTAGTTATTTGTGTAGTATTTGAATTACGTTCTTGAGAAGCTGAACGAATGGCTGCACATGAACGTTCAACAGATGATCGAGTTACTTGCAACACAGCATTATGTGGTAATGTAGCAGACGCATTGTTATGCGACTGTGCTTGTCCTGTAGCTTTCCGTAAAAGAGATGGACTAGCAGGTGTATGACGTAACTCTGTAAGAGTCCTTACTGTTTCCGACACTGAGATAGATCTGCGATATAGAATATATATTACGTTACATTAGCGTTTTACGTGCCATTGAAATCTTTCATAATAGACATGGAAAAGAATTATATTCTACCGTTGAGGAGTAGGACTAGCCGTAGGTGAAGAACCTTCTAACAAAAACGCTGGCGGGGGAGGAAGATTTTCAGTTTCGTCGCAAGTATTATCAGTGCGTTCATCGTTAGAACCTGCTGAAGGATTATTGAATGTAGCAGTTATAATAGTAGACGTTCGTCTTGTTGGTGGTGGAGGTTTATTCACTTGCTGCATCGATCCTCTACGGACCGTTAAAGTAGATACAGCACCAGGTACATTCCATGCATTTTCAGTTGGATTATGAAGTGAATGAGAATGCGGTATAGTAGTTTGACTTCCATATCCACTGCTAGATTCAATACTAGATTCTGATGTTTGACTTCCACCATCTTTTTCCGTAATTTCAGTCTAAAAATATATTTAGCTAAGCACTTATAGTTACAAAATGTCAAATGTTGTTGCCTTACCTTTTCAGTTCCTGGTGCTGATAATGAAGCAGGAGGTGGTGGTAAAGGTAACTGCATCTCTTGAGCGCGACTTGCAGCTAAATTTGCTAATTCGTGCATGTTCACATACATTGGTTGTTGAAGTTGATGAGTTGCTAATTCTGTATTATATCGTAATATTATATGTTATTTTCTAAACATTAACATAATTCATAAAGATTAATAGAGACCTTTTGCTAAGTGTGCTGGAAGTGGTAACTTAGGTTTCCCTCTAGGACTTCCAGGAGGTTCATTTTTTACTGGAACTGTTGGTCGCTCTAAACTGGAACATCTGTTTGGTATAGGAGGGCGATGACTACCATTATTTCTACGCAATTGTACTCTAGATGCTTGTTGATTAGAGGAAGAACATGAAGAGGAAGAAGAAACTGGAGAAGCGGGTTGACTATGACAACAGCTACTATTATCTGGAGCTTGGAATGTGTAGACACTGAGTGCTGGTCTTTGATGGCCTTTTTCATAAGCTACAAGAATAAGTGTAATATTATAAGTAAATTATACGTTATTCTTTATCATATATTTTAATTAATAATTTTCTTACCAGAAGAAATCGTGTGCGGCCGTTCGTTGATTGTGTTTTGATTTTGCCTATCATACTGAACTGATGTTTCCTGCAAGTCAGGCCAAGTAGCAGTAGTTACAGGTCTTGTTGTAGTACAACCAGTATTTTGATTAGTTTGAGAAGACACATTTGATACCTACGACAACACAGTTTAACTTCAAAAACATAAAAAAGACATACACCTCAAAGGATGCAGTGCTCTATTGAATATTGCAAATAAAAAGGAAAAATATGAAGTGCTGGCAAGCAACTAGTGTCTAACAACCTTACCTGATGTTCAGAGATTGGTTGTGTGTATAACGTGTCCTGAGAAGTGAAGCCAGAGTCACGGGAACTACCATTTACCAAATGGCGTAGTGTCATCATACCGTTGATGCTGGAGGGCCTGACACCGACAGACTACAACGAGTACAACATCGACTACCACATACACACTAAGCCGATGCCAAGTGGCATTCATGCTATGATCCATAAGCAACTACTTGCTTAAAATATGGCTAGTGCATAAATAGTGAAACTAATATGCCATGCACAAATGATTGACATTCTTAGTATAATAACGAAGCAGAACGAAAAAGATGTAATATCCGTTATTTATGCTACCGTAATTTTCACCTGAGAAAGTGATCTGTGCCAAGGGTGTCCAGATGGACTTGGATGACTTTTACAAGAGCCACTGCTGCTACTAGTCAAAGAACTAATTGAACACATTGAACTTTTTCTTGACCCAAGTGACAGAGAAGGACTTGAAGGTGGCGTAGCAAGTGACCACTGTGTTACATCGCAACCTTTTATATCTGTTATCACTTGCTCTGATGCAGGAGGTAAATGATGTGGAGAGGCTGCATGTCGTTGTAATTGATCAGAAACCTCTTGCAAGTGTGTCAGTTCCATTAGCATTGCAATTTCTTCATCCTATGTTTGTTTTTTACATGTTATTAATAGTGTTATTTGAAATTAAATTATTAATTACCCGGTAATTATAATTGATGTTACTAACAAGTACTGGTTTCAAAAATCTGGCAAGAAGACAATATCTGCCCCTTTCTTCGAGTAAAGCCGCGCGAACGGCTTTTCTTTCCGTTTCTTCTAAACTTAACCGTTTTTCTTGAACAACAGCAGCTGAAGATTCTAGCATTCGATTCAATTCAATATCACCTGATAATGTTCCATGCCCTTGTGTCTGTCCTTGTAAATGATGACCTTTTCGTGCTTTTTTCTTTTGCAAACGTAATGTATCAGTAGATCGCTTTCTTAATTCTGCTTTTGCTTTTTTATATTCTGAAATTAACAGAATTTCAAGTATATTTCAACATTTCCAAATATGTTATCATTAAATATACTAACCTTTAGCATGTTCTTTATCTAAATTTATTAAAGATTTTTTCCAATCTTCTAATTTTTCTTGAAGAGGCAACACCAAGCAATCCATAATAGCACTAATAAAAGAATATGTAAATAAAAAATGTTTATTTAACAAATAAATATTTAAAATTATTAATGTTTAATGAAAACTTACCTAGTAAATGATTTCATTCGTGTTTCTACTGCTTTATGTCTAAGACATATCCGGGTTAAAGCAGTTCCAATTTCTTTTGTTGCACCTTAATTACAAATATTTTATTGGACTAAGAGCTAACATTTAAAAGTATTTCATAAAAAATTAAAAAAGAAAGTATGACACAAACAAATATTGATGTATGATTGTTTATAATAAACATAGAAAATAAGACATAATTCACCTCTTGCACTAGTTGCAGCATCAGCAATTTTTTGAAAGGTTTCAAGATATGCAGAAATAGCTAAAATAGCAGCCCTAAAAAAATATCTAATGTAATTAGAGATATTATATTATTGTAAAGTAAATTTTACAATACATCTGTAATTAAAATACAAGCTTGCAGTAAATTTTATTTTTATGTTTTATGCACAATATAATTAGTATTACTATTGAATACAAAAGTCAAATCTTAAGTTTACTAATAAAATAAATATTAAACTGTAATCAAAATATAATTATTACCTTAGGCAAGAATGTAATTTGGTTGCTTTTGAAATTAAATCTTCCCATAATGGTGCTCCATTCTAAAAACAAATTTTTATAACATTTTCTTATTTACAAAATAAGAAATATATAAATAATTTATATATACGATTTTTATACATTGTACAAATACATATTATTACATTTGATGTAGATACTTTTATGTTATCATAAAAATACAACACATTTAATAGGGTAATGCAATCACATACGCCTACCTATCTTTTCTGATTAGATAATTTTATGAACTAGGAAGCTACCTGAAGAAGAAAATTGAATTGTTACATAGCTGCAATATTACATGCATTTTTGTGGCTGTTTAATAAAATTAAATAACACTTTATAAAAAATTTATATATGAAATTTATTAAATAGGATTATTTTACATAATTTACTTTGTTATAAATATTATTCGACGTTATATTCGTTGTTTACTAGTTCCATCAAGTAAAAAAAATATATACATTTATTATCTTGGAAATATGAAAAAATATTTCGGAACAGTATTATAGAACTAGAACAAGTGTAAATTAGCTATCGTCCTCGTTTTATCGCATTAAAGTATCTCAATGGTTTCGAAGAGTAGTTTCCAGAATTAGGACAATGGAACCATATTTTTAAAAAGTACCATAAGAAAAAATAACTAAAGGAATATGTTGCCTCTTCGGTCATACTGATTTCATAATATTTACGAAATATGTATATGTATTAAGAACAGTTGCATCGACAACGCGCCTTGGCCTGCATCGTTACTTGTGCAAAGGTAGAAAAGCGTACAAAAAACAATGAACAGGAAAAAACGCGGTCGCGCTCAAGCAAAATAAATATTGAATATTGACACACCATTAACGTTACTTACCTTCATGTCAGTTATAATCTGTTGAAAGAGGCCACCCAAAGCACTGCACTCTCTCTCAATTGTTGCATCCATCTTTGACTATCCGAAATTTTTTCCTTACTTGGCTCCGATAAAGTTCTTCCACATTAGAATCGTAGAATAGTTTTACTTTTTGTTATCCATATAGATATATACAAAATTTCCATAAGAATATCGGCGATTTGTAAGATTCGCCATTTTCGTAACAAGACACAAGTTTGAAGTAACACAGGGAAATACAACTGAGTGTATTTACCTACACTGTGCTTCTCATATATCTGTATCACGAATAATTTCGAATAAAACAATTTGGAAATCGAATGATCACTGTGCTATTTTCACAAATATTTTCCAACAATGTGCAATCATAACACCGATTAGTTTTGCCAAAGAAAATTGTAAACACTAGGGGACGGGTATCTCAACACAACGCACTCATTCTGACGAGCAACTATGGCTCGCTCTCGCGTCTGCGTCGATTCTGTTTTCGTTGCAATACCTGAATATCTGTGCCCCCTACGGCGACCCCGTTTCACAACTTCAAATTGAGGATTCGGGGTATATCTAATCGTTACTCAGGGTAACGGCTCTCTCTACCCCTTAGACTTTAGACAATCACTTCCGGAGTGTCGACTACTTATTGAAAGAGGACATCCTGCATCATTTCTCGCTTATTCTGATTGGTTATTCAGAGCAATTATGGGGAAATGTTTGCCATATGTAGATTCCTATCTGCTGTTCTTGTTCCTAGATCGTACGATTAAAAGGGGTTTCTCGATTCGAATATTGACACGAAACACATGTGAAATTGGAAATAATTTAAAAGAAACAGATACTATGAGCCTCATATTAAAATATAACGAATCATTTTACGATATCTTACTTAAATATTTTACAACGTTAAGTGAAATTACAAACATTTTTAAATTTATTGCCACTACTGGATTTATCGTAGTTGTTTCTTTTATACTCAATTACATTCATGGTACATACATTTTGAAATTTCAAACTTTTGATAGCTGATAATTCCATGTAAATTAAAATCTTATTAATTCAGACCTTTTTATATATTATATTCAGCTCTGTATATAGATTATAGAAAAAAAGAATGTTTTTAATATCTTAAATTTTGCGTTTAAATTGCAGATTATCGTTCTAAAAGAATCACGAATGAGTCGAAATACGACTTATTAGAATTACAAAAGTTTAACACGTATAATCGAGTAATTGCCAGACATCAAAGTATTATCAGTCATAAAGAAATGTTAAATGCTTTGGAATATGCGACTGATGTAAATTGCTTACCTATTAAATATCGTTATATAATATGAATTATACTATAAAATATTAGATATAAAATTCTGTATTGAAAATATTTCTAAACATATTTATTCAGTTCTTATTATTAACTTTATTTTATGATTCGTCATATTTATAAAATATATAGAATTATATGTATTATTTCTTAGAAATGTTATGACAAATTTTATGCATTAAAATGCATTGATATAATAGTAAATTGTCCACAATTGGTAAATGTAAAATCTCTACCTTATGGTTTAACACCTTTCCACCGTGTCTGTTTCCAAGGTCATAAATGTTTAATTGCTTTTATGTTAGCAAAGGGTATGTATAAAATAGAATAATAATACAAAACAAAATTATAGTATACATAATATAATTAAATATTATAATACACGTAGGTCTCTTTCATCTCTAAATTTGCATATAGGTGCTGACCCTTCCCTTGTCACAACAATAGGAGAGAATGCTTTATGTATGGCTATTTATTATTTTCTTAATAATCCAGTGGACGATGACTTTTCTTGCCTTGAAATGATTGCAAAAACTGGTTAGTTATTACAAAAACTTAATTTATTTTACCAACATATTTGGTGTTTTAAACATAATATTTTCTACTTTCATAGGATGTGGATTTGGCTTTGAAGACAAATGGTACAATAGCTTATTAGAAATGGCATTTAATAATAATCACATAAAATTAGTACAATGGTTAATTTTACATCACAAACTCTCCTCGCACAAGTCCTTGCGCTGTTTTTCTACACCACCAATATGAAGGAATTATAAATTTAATTAAATATTATGTATATATATATTAATCATTAGTTTTATTCATTTTTGTATATGATATATAAAATGTAAGTTATGATATGATATGATATAAATTACAAATATAGGTTATGAATAAGAAATGCAATATTTTGATTAATATTTGTTAATGTTAATTAATTACTTAATGTTTTTTCACTAGAAATTCTTATTTCTTTCAAAAATTATAAATATGTACTATTGTTATTTGTAACAAACCCAATAATAAACTAAAAATTGAATAACAAAATTTTAAAAACTGATAATAACAGGTTTGAGCATTTGTAATTACGTCTATATACTAATACTTTATATACTATTACGTGTATATGCATGGCAACTATGTGAAGACAATATCCTAACACAGTTATATTCTTGATGATAAGAGAATTTTTTAATATGTTACAAGTAGTTAATATGCAAAAGTTTAATATAATAAAACACGCATGAGCATAGCACGACAATATACGTTACATTTCAAATAAGATATCATCAAAAGATAAGGTTAAAGTTTTAGAAATTGTGTTACATGATGGCAAATACCGGTTTATTAGTTTTAACAAATCCTACAAGAGTGATGAAATTATTACCGATGATAAAAAAACACGTATTAAAAACTTTATATATCCAATATTTTCCAGAAAAGAATATATTTCTCTCTGGTAATCAAATGATTACAAATCCTCAGTGGCGAATAAGTCGTTACGCTCAAATCGTTGCCGATATTTATATCAATACATCTAGTATATTTTCTCCACTTGATGTTCGAGTGTTACTTACAAGTATGAAAAATCCTAATATATCAGTAATAAATACCAAGAAACCTGTGGAAATAGTTATTTTTGATAAAGCTTGTAGTAAAAGAGAAGCTGACACATTCATTCAAGATTATTTAGCAAACACTTCCATGGGTTGTAGTTTTATTAATTTTACTGATGATCTAAAATCAGGAAACTTAGATAGTATAACATCTTGTGTTAATGAAGAAAAAACTTATAAGAATGTAGTACTTGGTGGTACATTTGATCGAATACATAATGGACATAAAATATTATTAAGTGAAGCTGCATTGCGTTGTACAGAGAAACTTACAGTTGGTGTAACTGATACAAATATGTTGTCTGGTAAGAGTATACAGATAAATATAAATTGTAAGAAATGTAATTCATATATTACTGATTAATAAATTATTACAGAATCTCATAAATGAAAAGTTTTTTTATAAATTAAATCTTGCATAATCCTTAATATTTTAACTAATCTACTGTATTAAATTTTCAGCAAAATTATTGTGGGAACTGATAGAACCTTGCTCTATAAGAATTTTAAATCTCAAAGACTTTCTAGAAGACATAGATCCAACTATAACATATGAAGTTATGGCTATAAATGATATGTACGGACCAACTAAATGTGATTCAACATTTGAGATGATAGTAGTTAGCGAAGAAACAAAACGTGGTGGAGATAAAGTGAATGAAATGCGTGAGAAAAATAATTTAAACAAATTAGACATTCATGTCGTGAAATTAATAAATGATGAGAATCATAAAAAACATGAAGAAAGTAAAGTCAGTTCTAGTAATCAAAGAATACGATTATTGGGAACAAAACTTAAAGCTCCTGTATGTATTATACTAAATTGTATTATACAAAGGTTTTAATCGTATTAACTTTTTAGCAAATAGGGAATAAACCTTTAAAACCTTATATCATTGGCTTGACTGGTGGTATAGCAAGTGGAAAATCATCTGTAGCTGAGAAACTACAAAAATTGGGTGCCGCACTTGTCAATTGTGATAAAATAGCACATAATTTATATTTACCTGGCAAAAAGTGTTTTGATACGATAGTTGAAAATTTTGGTCCCACTATTTTGAAACCTGACGGATCTATTGATAGAAGAGCACTCGGAAATATAGTATTTAATGATCAAGTAAGCTTTTATTTATTTCATATTATTACTAGCACCTAATATTGATATTTTTGGGCTTATATTTAAAAATATAAATCTATTTATAGATGCAATTAAGCAAGCTAAATAAGATTGTTTGGCCTATAATTTTAGAAGAAACAAAGAAACAAATATATGATTTCAACGCAAAAGGATTTGATGTAATTGTAATGGAAGCTGCTGTTTTGATTCAAGCTAACTGGCAACATGAATGTCATGAAATCTGGACATGCATTATTCCACAAGAAGAGGTAAACTTTTAATTTATAGATTAAATTTTAATAATATTAAATTTTATTAATACAGATTTTTATAATACAGATTAAATTTTATTAATATTTCATGTTAGAGTACTTTTTGTTAATAAAATTTAGAACTTCCTTGTTCTTCTATTCATAGGCTATACGACGAATAGTAGAAAGAAACGGATTAACCGAAGCTGATGCAAAAGTAAGAATTCAAGCTCAACCAAATAATGTAGAACAAATCAAAGAAGCAAATGTTGTGATATGTAGTTTATGGAGTTATAACATTACCGAAGAACAAGTGCAGAGGGCATGGAACGAATCAATGACATTTTTAACCAACCAAGCAAAAAGTTAACAGAAATTATGTTAATATAAGATCGCAAATATCTATTAAATTCCTTATTTATTGCTTGTATAAAATATAATTCTTAATAAGTTGTGCTAGTTCTAAATTACATTTGGGTAAATTTGAAACGTAATTTTTCGTAAACGTAAACGTAATTTAATTGAAATGATTAATATGTCTTTAATTATAAAAAATATTTGTATGAGAGAATAAGATTAGTTTTAAGAAATAAAAATTTGGGGAGAGGAAGTATATTTGATTATATTATTACAATGCGTACATATTGTGCAAACAAAATAATGTTATATAATAAATCTAAACTTTTATATATAATACATAATATTCACGTGTAAGTATGCTATAATTATAATGCACGGAATGTGAAAACACATAAATATTTTGTAAAAAGATAATAATTGATTTTCTTGCAATAAAATGTTCGCATCAAAAATAAATTTTTGAATATAATTCCTAAAAACAGATGATAAAAATTTATTATGCTATATAATATTGAACAATATTATTTCGTAAACAATATGTTTTCATTTAAAATATTTTTATCTTCTTGATTTATATAATGATGCATTTTATTAAGTATTGTACTTATGAATGATGCAAAATCTGCTTTTAGTTTACTTCCACCGCTTTCTATATTACATTTAACATGGGATACTTTCATAAATGTTGAAGCTGTTTATATAAAATAAAAAATTATAATAAAATAAAAATATATAATTTTTTGTGAATATTACGATTATTAATATTATAAGTCATAGATACTCACAAATAATTTTTGATATTTCTGGATTTCTTTTTTCTGGGTCATAACAGAAAATTGCACATCTATCTGGATCTAATTTTGTTTGATCAATAAAATAATCATATAATTGTTGAATTTCTTTCAAACATTCATTTGATTTTTCATTATATACAAGTATAACACCATGCACATCTTTTCTTATAGCTGGCCAACAACTTTCAAATCTGAAATATTTTTGCAGCACATTACACGTATTATATTATTTTTTAAATAAATAAAGTACTGTTTATATATACTTATGATCTCCACTACAGTCCCATAATTCAATATCTTTTGCGATATGCTTGTTATTCACATTTATGTTTTGTACTTCAAATTCTAATATTCGAACACCTTTAGTTGGATGATAATCATAGGGTATTTCCGTAGCATCGGCAAGAAAATTAGATATTGTTGTTTTACCACTCTAAAAAATATTTTTTAAATAATTGAAATTTTAGAATTAACTCAATTTGTATTTTTGTATACATTATAGATATACATATTGATTACAAGTTCTATTTAACATTACTTTTACATATAGTAGGTGAAACAAACAATGCAATAAATTCTTGTATAATAAAACAGTAATTACATAAAGATTATACAACTGAAATATTACCCTAATAGGTCCTGTAACAATTATCTTTAGTGGCTGCATATTATATGTGTACTTTAATTTAGTACAGACACTGTACTTGAACCTAAGTGTTTGGAAAATTGTCGCCATAACAACTACTTATATTTATGAATTTTATAGTTTAATCAGCTTTCTATTAACAAATCAAATATTTATATTTAAATATAAAAATTTATATTTCGTTGAAAATGGAAGAGAATTTGTATTTTAATGCGTAATAAATATTGACAAACATAAAATTTATTTATACATGTTAATTTATTATGATACATAAACATGTCATTTGAATACAATACAATACAATGAGAAACATTAGATACAAAATAAGGATATATTACATATTAACCGTTTTAGTGCCAGCGGTTTTTAATAATCTGTATCGGATTGTGCCATGCAGCGCGATAACGTTTCGAATTGACGATCGCGACCGAACATCGCGACACAGTTCACTACAGTACGCGAACAGCGCGATTGCGCTTTTATTATCAGTTATTGTTTACCTGGAATTGTTCCCAATTAATTGTACAACTTTTTCTGCTTTTATAAAGTACAGTATGTAATAAAATACACCAATTTAGTGGCGTTAAAACTAATTAAAAGATTACGCTATCAGTTATGACTAAATAAAATTATAATCGAACAATACCATATTGTAAAAGAATATTAAAATGTATTATGAATTTTTAACTTCGCGTTCAAGTCGTGTTATTTATCTTTAGTCATCTTTAATGTTTTTAATTTTATCTATATTTTCTTATGCTTTTAATATTTACTCATAATTTGATGTTTCGTATAAACAATATGTGAAATCATTAAATGAAATCATTATCGCTAAGTATAATTGACCATTTAAATAATTTTTAGACTTCTTTGTTTAAGTAACGAATATTAGTCCTCGATATTTGGAGAAGTGGGCGGCGGACAGCGTTTAGGTTGGCTTGTCCGAGCGAGGCTAAGTGTTAACAGTAGGATAAGGCTGAGGAATTGGAGAAAAATTGTTCCTGAATGATTATATGTAAAGAATAAGTTTATTAGATAATTTAATAAAGAGTGCAATATTATATGGAGCAAAAATTTGAGGATAGAAGGAATGAATTAAGAAGAATACAGTTAATACCTAAAGTGAACTTTGGGATTAAACGGGCAGATTACATAACATTAGAAGAGATCAAAAATTAAAAGATGAAAGTATGTTTGGGCTTTAAAACAATCAAATATGAAATAAAGGCAGAAGAGGTAACAAGAAGAACCTTAGCCAAGGAAGAAAAAGAAGGAAACAAAAACTTCCAAATGTCAAAATAAGTAAAGAAAGATACCTAAGAAGATTTAAATATAGTCAGGAAAGATTGGAGTATTTAAGTACAAACGAGAAAAAATGCATTCTTAGAAAATATATGAGAATGTATAACTTCAAGAAGAATTGTTCTTAAATTTAGTAGGATAATAAATTCTAAGTTTGACTGTAGATATAAAGATTTGAAAACAGACAAGATACCGAAGCACTTAGTTAATAAAGGGATTAAAGGAAGCCAATAAGATTGATACTTAGGATGAGATGCAGAAATTTGGAAGAATAGAATACGTAGGTTTTGATATGTTGAGAAACATAGAATATATATGTGCGGTGGAGGAGGGTGGGGGATTGAAAAAAGGGAAGATTTGTGATCTTAACCCAATAAAAGTTCAAAAGAAGGAACATGATATTGCATAGAGAAAGGAAGAAAAGAATAGAGATATATGAATCAGTTGCGGGTGGTAGTTACTGTTATTGAGATTAGGAAGCGAAAGAAGACATGTAAGAATAAGAAAGTGCAATGAAGCAAGATAATAGAAAATAGTTTTAGACTTAGTTCAACTTTTGTTTAGATGAATTTTAGTTCTGTAAGTCAAACTGGCTGTTTTCAAGGCCATTGGACCGAAAGATAAGATATACTAAAAATAATATATAAATGAATTCTACATGTTTATATATTTAAATCTTTTTCCTCGTTGCAATTCTCAATGTCTTTTGTAATATGCTACATATTCACGCAATATATGAATTAAAGCAGTCAAAGCAAAATGAGTAATAGTATGAGTAATACTATAATATAATAGTATTATTTTATAATATATTACAAAAATTATTGATGTTTGCAATATTGATGTTTTAAGCTATTGATTGGTCCATTACTGATGAAGCTTCATCTGGATAATTTAAACCATACAAAGCAAAGAGTGCAGATTTTGCTGCTATTTTCTTGGCATCCTTTTTGTTCTTTGCTGTAACATACATTTATTTTTAATCCAACATAAAAGAAACATATAAAATAAAATCATTAGTTTACAATTTGCTATAATATATAACACATTTTTTATATTGATGTATAAAATAAAGATATAAATGCTTAAACTAAAACAGAAATCATATTACCTGTTCCTGAATATTCAATACCATCAATATCAACGGCAAGAGTAAACATTGTATTTGGTGGATTACCAACTCGATTAAGTTCTACATATGTTAAACCTGGTCTCATTTGATTTAATAACATTACAGGGTGTATGTTTGTTGCATTAGGTGGAAGTTCTTTCTGAACTGGAGTTTTTTGAACATGAGAAATCTCTCTTTTAATTCCTTTAACAGGTGATGGTAATCCTGGTCTTGGAACTGGAACTGATGTTCCTTGATTATGCCATTCAAGGAAAAGCTTATACAATGCAAAACTAGCCAAAGAGCTCCATGGAATTTCATCACTTTCATCAACAGTAGTATCCATTGGTGTTACACCTTCTTCGTTATTTTCCTCTTTTGATATAGTAGATGAATCCATAGACTGAACTGATTGTCCATCTGACTCAGCATCAATACGTGCTTTCATAGATGCTGCCGTCATTTTTTCAAGTAATAATGCTTTCAATGCATTTTCAGCAGCATTTTGACGAGCAAGTGGTTTAGATAATCCTTGTCCAACATAAGTTTTACCATCAAGCTATTTTTAATAAAAAAAATCATTTTAGGATTTTAGTATTTATAATGTATAAACACACATAAGTATGTGTGTGTGTGTGTGTGTGTGTGTGTACACTAAATTATTCTAAATACCTCTGCATGAACGAGATATAGGGAGTTTGGCATAGGTCCTTGAGTTTCAGGAAATGTGAACTGGACTCCAGGTTTCATTTCATTTAGTACCATAATTGCATTCTTGGGTTGCAATGTCTTTCGTAGACGTTGATTCAAATGTATAAACACACATAAGTATGCATAAGTATGTGTGTGTGTGTGTGTGTGTGTGTACACTAAATTATTCTAAATACCTCTGCATGAACGAGATACAGGGAGTTTGGCATAGGTCCTTGAGTTTCAGGAAATGTGAACTGGACTCCAGGTTTCATTTCATTTAGTACCATAATTGCATTCTTGGGTTGCAATGTCTTTCGTAGACGTTGATTCAAACGAAGTCGTTTCAGTCTTTTATTTACTCTAACTGAAGGTATAAACTTTATGTAATTTATTAAACAAGAGTATATTTTATTAATTTTTTCCATATATATATATCAGTATATCAATATTCACAATGATTATAAATATGCAATAGCTCAATAGTAATCTATCAGAGCACATAGCAATAGTTTCAATCTTCAAATTTGCGCAGTGGATTATCATCATTATGTATATAATGTTTCTATATTTAGATAATTTATGCAATATAAATTTCAAAACTATTTCAAATGTAGTTAAAAAATACGTTTTAAATAAACTTAGAAAAAAACAGAAATAAAAATTGCTTATTGATTACACAAATACGTTTTAAATAAACTTAGAAAAAAACAGAAATAAAAATTGCTTCTTAATGATTATTTTAAATACTTACATCCGGGTGCTTTACGCCTCCATCTTGGAAGTTGTTCTTCTATTTTAGTATCTGTATCTTCACTCATTTGATTTTCATTCTTTACTTCAGATGTGCTATTGTTGTTAGGAGGTGTAGGATTAGAGTTAGTTGTTAAGGGAGATGTTGGAGTAGAAACTAATGTTTGAGAAGATGAAACAGGATTATTTTGCATAGCAATTGCACTTTGTTGCTGATTATGAAGAGGTAGTTTTAAAATTGGTTTCAACCGTTGTATTTGAGGTTGAAATTGTGATTGTGATTGTGTTTGAGGCTGTGGTTGAGATTGTTGTTGGGACTGTGATTGAGGCTGTGGTTGAACTTGGCTTTGAGAAGAATTGGCAATGGATTGTTGTGGTTGTTTAATTTGCTGTGGCAATTGTTGTTGCTGTTGTGGTTTCCCTTGCTGTAAATTCTTTGCTGCTACTTGTTGCATTTGTGGTTGCTGAGATTTGCTATGTTGCAAATTCCTTGCTGCTACTTGTTGCATTTGTGGTTGTTGTTGCTGCTGCTGTGGTTTAAATGGTTGTGCATTTTGTGAACTTCCTTGTTTGTAATTACTTTGTTGATTTGGAGGAGGTTGTGTTGCTTGAAAACTGGCTTGCTGATTGTACTGCAAAACATAGGGTGGGTCGCCGCTACACAAGGAACCTGTACGGTTGTGCTATCCCACCAAGGTCTAGCATCGCATATGCACTTGAAAGCAGTCTAATGCTACTCCCATAACTCATACCAGCCAAATTATTTCTGTGGCCTATATTTCCTTATGTATAACTGAACTGAGTTTACATAAAATAGAAAATAGAAAAAAGGAGAGTAAGAAGAAGAATAAAGATTTTCAAGCCTAAGTAAAAGTTTCATTACTATATGCTTTCTATCAATAATAAATATAATTTTGTAACATGTTGTGTATAAAATTTGCTCATGTTTATGAAAACAAACACTTAAGCTAATAGTGAAATAAAATTTAATAAATAATGAAGATTTAAACAAACAGAAAACTTACATGCGCCATTTTTATATTTTGTAACTATTAAATCATAATATTTCAGAGAAACCTACATATGTAGTACCAAGACAAGTTTATTTTTAGTTTGTACCTAAAGCGTAATTACTAATAGTGACAAACAGTTTAGCCTAAAATGTTATGTAAACATCAGTTCAGTATGTTATTAAAAATATGGCCTATGGCAAGCTACGCTATGGGGGTAACTGACGAACTAGCCCCTGGCTGAATAGACCTCCTCGGTATTGTTGTATAGCTACTAGTTCCTGCATTGCAGGGGAGGGGAAAGTAGGGACCACTAATTAGTACATGCAAATGGATGAAATATTGAAAACAACAAATGGAAATATTGAAAACAATAATCACACATTCTAATTATGATGAATTCAAAATATTTCACACACACACACACGCGCGCGCGCGCGCACACACACATACACACAAAATTTCTTTCCTCTTATATTAATATGACATAAAATAAGAAAATAATATGCTGTATAAATGTTGTTATTTGTTATGAAAGATAATGATCTTAATAATATTTGTAAAAAAGTAGATTAGAAAAAGAGTAATTTAAAAATATTCAATTTAAAAAAGAATTTAAATTTTACATGTTAATATATATTATTTTGGACAAAAACAGGATGATTCATTTGAATTAACCAATTTCGCTTTTATTTTTATTTTATTGTTACTTGTATTATTATTTAGATTTCATAACTCTATTCATAGTATGATCGAACAAAATTATCAGATACTGAGTATATTAAAAAGTACTAAATGTATTTATTTTAAGTATCAAAAGAATGATCAATAACGTTATACAGATATTTATTCTTGTATTTATGAATCATTTTGTCGTAAATTTCTAGTATATGTACATCAAATGATATTAGTGAATATCATTGTATTATATATGTAATGTATTTATATACATCATAAAAATCTAATGTAGTTTAGTATTTGTACTAGATTAATATAAAAAATACTTCCATATTATTTTTATACTGGAAATATTTTTTGTGTACATACATATGTATAAGTTTAAGAAATGCAAATGTGTATTTTATATTTTGTAAAAACAAAAAATGCATTTCTAAATAATACTAATTTAAATTACTTAAGATATTAGATTACTTTACATCACATTTTTTCACTGTATTATGTATAAAATTAAATATATCATATTTTTAACATCTTTAGTATATTTAAATAATTTATATTAATAAACAAATTAAATATAATTATAGAAAAATAAAAGAATTTTAAGTTCTGGAATACTTAGATAACAAATATTGAGTGTATGTGTGTTTTGCATCTTTTGATGTATAAATTTCTAAATTACTTAAACAGATTTTATCAATTGATATAATGAAAATGTGTTATTCATTTATTTACATACTACATACTACGTATGTTTCTATACTATATGTAATTATATGAATCATTTACTTGAAAAATTATTGTTTTCAAAATATATATATATACATATGCTTCTCTTATACTTTTTAAGTTATTGTTATGCAGTAAAATTATTCTTAAAATAGCAAACTTACAGTGCTTTGACCTTGATATGGTACATTTGGATTACTTTGGTTTCTCACTGGAAACATAATTAATGAAATTATTGGTATCTTTTGTTGAAATCAATGATAATAAAATCAAGAAAAACACATTCGTGGCTTTATAATAAATACAGTGAGTCTCAAAGTTATTCACACATACAGGAGATTATAGAAATATGAAAAATGAAACAATAATAAAGGTAAATGTTACCTAAACCAGGCAAAGAACCACACCAAACAACATCTTATAGACCAATATCACTACTTCCCGTGTTTTCCAAAATACTAGAAAAAATAATTTACGCCCGCTTAAAACCAATAATCGAGAAGGAAAAATTACCATACCAGATCACCAATTAGGATTCAGAAACAAACATTCCACGATAGAGCAAATGCACAGACTTACAAATGAAATAATTCTAGCATTAGAAAACAAACAATACTGTACAGCCCTCTTTATGGACATCGAGAAAGCATTTGACAATATAAACCACGAAAGTCTACTTCAATCAATCAGAAAACAATTCCCGGAGCAGATATACCATTTAATTAAATCTTACTTAAGCAGCAGAACCTTCGTAGTAAAAATTAAAGACACATACTCTGAAATTAAAGACATCAAGGCAGGGGTTCCGCAAGGAAGCATCTTAGGACCAATTCTATACACACTATACACGGCCAACATACCAACAACTACTAATAGCAAGATACTGATATTCGCGGACGACACAGCGGTACTAGTCAGGCACACTGACCCTGCAACAGCAGTCACATCACTACAAGAACATATCACAAAAATAGAAAAGTGGCTTCAAGTTAAACAGATACCTCCAAACATTATACTGAATGGCATGCACATAATACAAACAAGGCAAGTCAAATACCTAGGACTTCACTTAGATACACGATTCACATGGATACAGCATATTAAATCTATAATAGACAAAATACAATTAGCAAGGAGACAAATGTATTGGTTAACAAGTCGAAAATCCAAACTAAGCATAAAAACAAACTAAAGATATACAAAATGATCATAAAACCAATTTGGACATACGGAATACCACTTTGGGGAACAACAGCAATGAGCCATATAAGCAAAATAGAGACAATCCAAGCTAAAATTCTTAGATCAATTGTAAACGCCCCATGGTACGTTAGAAACGAGGATATACGGAAAGACCTTGGAATACCAACGGTCAAGGAAGAGATTAGCAGATTCGCAAGAAGGTATAGAGAAAGAATAGCAACATGCCCAAACCGACTGGCAGCGGAAACGTTCAACACAACCATAGAAAGAAGACTAAAAAGGAAACACCCAGCAGATCTCACAAAGGATATATCTTAACAAACACGAAGATGGAATCCCATTGGGGGTAGCCACGAACATGATAATCAAACAGATAGAAAATTCTACCAAATGTCCAAATTGGACAAATTGTGAATGTGAAATTTTAAATAAAAAAAATAATAATAATAATAAAAGTACATTCAGCACTCTTTATTTAAAAAATGTGATATTTAGTCTTTGAATTATGAATATTATATAAAGAGCAATGAAATTATTAGTATAGTTTTTGACAAGACAAAATGTAACAATTCCTTGCACTTATTCAGGTTATAAAATTAATGACACACATGTAACATTCTATGAAAAACAATTCAAGTACCCAAATACTGCCTTATAAATTCAGTATAAAACATTATAACAGTCAATTAATATCCACCTTGGGAAGGTGATAAAACAAAAAGGATATCTCGCCAAATAAAAATTCTAATTATTGTTATACAAAATTATTAAGTTTAAGAACATGTGTTGCTAATTTTGTGATCCTAATTAATTCTTGGAATTGTTTCGCATTATTTTTTCATAACCACAAATGATAATTTTATTGCTTCTTTCCATAGATTTCTTAGTTAAAGGACTAGAAAACTATATTTTTTAAATAAAAAGTGCTGAGAATACTTTTATCATCTTTTTATTTTTCGTATTCCTGATAAACCACGAAAGTCTACTTCAATCAATCAGAAAACAATTCCCGGAGCAGATATACCATTTAATTAAATCTTACTTAAGCAGCAGAACCTTCGTAGTAAAAATTAAAGACACATACTCTGAAATTAAAGACATCAAGGCAGGGGTTCCGCAAGGAAGCATCTTAGGACCAATTCTATACACACTATACACGGCCAACATACCAACAACTACTAATAGCAAGATACTGACATTCGCGGACGACACAGCGGTACTAGTCAGGCACACTGACCCTGCAACAGCAGTCACATCACTACAAGAACATATCACAAAAATAGAAAAGTGGCTTCAAGTTAAACAGATACCTCCAAACATTATACTGAATGGCATGCACATAATACAAACAAGGCAAGTCAAATACCTAGGACTTCACTTAGATACACGATTCACATGGATACAGCATATTAAATCTATAATAGACAAAATACAATTAGCAAGGAGACAAATGTATTGGTTAACAAGTCGAAAATCCAAACTAAGCATAAAAACAAACTAAAGATATACAAAATGATCATAAAACCAATTTGGACATACGGAATACCACTTTGGGGAACAACAGCAATGAGCCATATAAGCAAAATAGAGACAATCCAAGCTAAAATTCTTAGATCAATTGTAAACGCCCCATGGTACGTTAGAAACGAGGATATACGGAAAGACCTTGGAATACCAACGGTCAAGGAAGAGATTAGCAGATTCGCAAGAAGGTATAGAGAAAGAATAGCAACATGCCCAAACCGACTGGCAGCGGAAACGTTCAACACAACCATAGAAAGAAGACTAAAAAGGAAACACCCAGCAGATCTCACAAAGGATATATCTTAACAAACACGAAGATGGAATCCCATTGGGGGTAGCCACGAACATGATAATCAAACAGATAGAAAATTCTACCAAATGTCCAAATTGGACAAATTGTGAATGTGAAATTTTAAATAAAAAAAATAATAATAATAATAAAAGTACATTCAGCACTCTTTATTTAAAAAATGTGATATTTAGTCTTTGAATTATGAATATTATATAAAGAGCAATGAAATTATTAGTATAGTTTTTGACAAGACAAAATGTAACAATTCCTTGCACTTATTCAGGTTATAAAATTAATGACACACATGTAACATTCTATGAAAAACAATTCAAGTACCCAAATACTGCCTTATAAATTCAGTATAAAACATTATAACAGTCAATTAATATCCACCTTGGGAAGGTGATAAAACAAAAAGGATATCTCGCCAAATAAAAATTCTAATTATTGTTATACAAAATTATTAAGTTTAAGAACATGTGTTGCTAATTTTGTGATCCTAATTAATTCTTGGAATTGTTTCGCATTATTTTTTCATAACCACAAATGATAATTTTATTGCTTCTTTCCATAGATTTCTTAGTTAAAGGACTAGAAAACTATATTTTTTAAATAAAAAGTGCTGAGAATACTTTTATCAT